TTTGAATCCACATGAAAAATGCTATCTACTAATATGGTCACCTTATGGAACTTTTTATGACCTTTCGTAGTTTTCCCCGGCTATCTGCCCTGTCAGCGGTCAGTCGACCTCCCAATTAATTATCCCACCGAGGTATCAGGGCATTGTAGTGATCGGCTTTATCGTACTTTTATTCACCAACGTGGTCTCTTCTATTCATTATTTTGCAGGAGGTCCGTGAGGACTGCTGTTCTAGAAAAGTTCTCTCATTTCAAATCTGAATGTTCATTGAAATTTCAAAAATATTATGCTTTGAATTCCAAATTCCTTGGTACCGCCGAAGAGGTCGTAGTAAAATGGGACGGTTGACCTCGTTAAAGACTTGTCGCACCCACGATTCGAGGCATAATTGAGGAGGTGCGAAGGAACCTCATTGAGCTGAGGCAGGTCAGCCGAGGCACGCACGAGCTATCAAGAATGGCTCAAATCGAGTGAAAGCTCTCAACAGATTGAAATACGTGAGGATCTTCCAAAGGGAAGAAGGCTTACGAAAAAGTGATGTGATAAGGTAGCGCTCCTGTCCAACTAATTTGAATTTTATGATGCCTAGCTTCTAATTGGAATGGTATAATGCCTAGCTTCCAACTAAGCATCGATAAAAAAATTATAAGCTCAATCATTCCAAATTTCATGACGAAAAGCTTCAAGAAGTCACGTAGAAACCCATACTGTTTACGAAGTGCAACCTTGGATATCGCTGAGCCTCATTGCCTGCCTTCGGCCTGTGAGTTCCGGTAATGACCCTCTGGCCTGTATATTACCCGATAATGACTTCTTTATCACTTTGAGAGCCCTTTGGTCAAACACAACACCTCAACGAGAGCTTACGAGTAGATACTTAAGCTAACTTAAGCCGTTCCGTTTTCAGGGTTTCCACAGACCTCGTCTCCCACACCTTTATATGTAACACCGCCTCACAATTTTTATCCGATACCAGCACCTTCGTGTGACGTAGGGCTTCTGTCACCATGCACATTTTCTCCCACACTAGCACATTCTCACTTCGTTGGTCAGAAACCAACATACCGCGTTACCCCTTTACCAGCAACTTCTTACCGCGTGGAGCCCTCCTCCCCATACACTTTTCCCCAGCACTGGGAACATCCTACTACGCTGATCAGGAAGCAACATCCTATTCCGCCGCTACACCACCACCCTCGTATTACGTACAGGGAAGCATCCTTCGAATCCACGATCAGTACTGACAGACCATTTCGTGAGGCTCGGGCACTTCAACCCGATCGATGAATATACATCTGAGAAAGGAAAAAAGCAGCTGTGAAGCATGCAGTTATATAGCTCATAGTGCACACTGGTTTTTGTTTTAATAGTTGTAATAATATAATAACAATGTTAATAATAATAAACTAATAAACAGCTGAAATATATAGCAACCTTTGGACCCATTTTACCGAAAATTTTCGATGAATTCATGTCATGAATTTGGATAGCTTAATAACTTCTCCTCTTACCGAGGCCAAGCGCAGTTGGTGCGACGTGCCTCGGCTTTATGAGGTCGCTTCGTACCTCGTTAATTATGCCTCGAATCGCAGGTGCGACAGATCATTAACGAGGGGCCAATCGTCCCATTTTCAACCTACCCCCGAAGAACCGCCGAGATCGACAACTGCGTCGACAGGTCGGTACCGCCGAGGTCAACAGCTGCGATCAGCGTGCGAATGATAACGAAGGCGAAAGAAACTATAACAATATATTATTAAAAAAGAGAGTCAAAGCGGCCCTGGTGGCGTAACGGATAGCGCACTCGCCCTGAAAGCGTAAGGTGCGGGTTGGACTCCCGCCTTGGGCACGACTTTTGCCCACAACTCAGCATTCCTGTGATAACATTCGGAACGCGTACTGCGGTGTTAAACAGCAGTTACATAATACCAGTCGCCTCGCCGGCTGACGCCGGCGTGGCTCCTTCTGATACAGCCCGGCTGCGCCGGGCGGGCGCGGTTTCGCCGCGCGTACCTTCTCTCACATATTTCTAGACTCAACTGATATCCGCCTTTTGTTCTGTACTCCACTTTTCTCCGGTGCCTGAAGTACTCTTGAGCTGTTTTACAGATTCTTCGGCTGACTCCGCCCACCTCAGAGCAGACCCCGCCCACAATTTTTTGCCCCGCATTCTTCACAGGCGACCCCCTGCTGACCTTAATCCACTTTTTTTTCCGGTCTTCGAAGTCCTCTGGAACCGCTTACACACCTTTTTTGTCTGTCTCCGCCCACCTCGAAACAGGTCCGGCCCCCAATTTTGTGCCCCACAATCCTCAATGGCGACCCTCTGCTGACTTAAATACACTTTTTTCTCTTCTTTGAATGCTCTGGAACCGTTCGCGCGAGTTTTTGTCTGGCTCCGCCCACCTCGAAACAGGCTCCACCCCCAATTTTTGTGATCCACAATCCTCCATGGCGACCCTCTTGCTGGCCTTAATTCACGTTTTTTCGGTCTTCGCGAGTGCTCACCGTTTTACGGACCTTTTTTTGTCTGGCTCCGCCACACTCGGGCTGGCCCCCGCCCCCATTTTCGTGCCCCGCACTTCTTCACGGCGCGAACCCCTGCGGACTCTTAATTCCACTTTTGATTTCCAGTGTCTGAAGTGTTTCTGGAACCGTTCTGTGAGTTTTTGTCTGGGCTCCGCCCACCTCGAAACCAGCTCCGCCCCCAATTTTTGTGCCCCACGATCCTCCAATGGCGACCCTCTGCTGGCTTTCATTCACGTTTTTTTTTCGGTCTTCGGAGTGCTCACCGTTTTACAGACCTTTTTGTCTGGCTCCGTCCACCTCGGAGCAGGCTCCGCCCACAATGTTTTTGCCCCATCGGGCTACAAACTTTTAAAGTGAGTATCCTGCGGTTTAGGGCAAGCTCCGCCCACTGTGGGCGGAGCTCAACACATTTTGAGCATGCCCAATACTCGCCAGATATTCACTGAGCTTTTTGCGGCTTCTGAACACTTTCGCGAACCGGGTTACTGAGTTTAATGCGAAGCACCGCCCACCTTGAGTAGGCCCCGCCCATTTTGTATGTGCCTGCCGCAGCTAGTCTGGCGACTCCTTACTAACCTTATTCCCTTTTTTCGCCATCTTAGGCTGCTCCGGAAGCGAATTATGAACATTTTTCTGTGAAACCCCAAAATTTCAGCGAGTGCCCCGCCCACTGTGGGCGGGGCTTCGCATAGGTCAAGTTGTGCTTTTTATTTCTTGTCCCCATGCTCTACCCATCCCCACCGACCTCTCTAAGTCGTTCTTCAGGTCGAACCGAATTTCCGGACAGACAAACTTACAAAACAAACCAAACAAAACAGACGAAGCGAATTATATATATGGGGTGATAGCAATATATTTGTGTGTAGTATAAAAATGGTAGATACTCGGGATAACTTGTAAAACGCATTTGTTTGACTGGCAACATTTCCGTGTGAAAACATTCGATTAAGCTGAAGTAGAAGAACTCAGTTAAACGATTTTCAGTAACTCTCCATGATCTGGCGGACCATGGAGATGGATAGATCAATAAGAAAACGAACGTTGACCTGTGATAAAGGATTTTGGAATTCGAAGCATAAAATTTTTGAAATTTCAATGAAAATTCAGATTCGAAATAGAGAACTTTTCTAGAACAGCAGTCCACACGGACCTTCTGCAAAATAATGAACAGAAGAGACCACGTTGGTGGATAAAAGTACGATAAAGCCGATCACTACAATGCCCTGATACCTCGGTGGGATAATTAATTCGGGAGGTCGACTGACCGCTGACAGGGCAGATAGCCGGGGAAAACTACGAAAGGTCATAGAAAGTTCCATGAGGTGATTTTCATATTAATATATAGGCATTTTTCATGTGGATTCAAATGGTGTACCTTTGACGGGATTTTCTCAATATTGAAAATGAGAGTATTCTGCTTTGAAATGATTCCCTAAGTTGGTGCCCGATAACGACAACCGGTCTGAAATATACCACTGTTTTCCACCAATTTTGGGAAGCACAAGGCTTTCTTACGCAGTTTTTTTATGGAACGTATGGGGCCTCCCAGAGCGCTGGAAATTCCGCCTGAAAACGCTGAAAATCTAGCATTCGTCCTGGCTATCGCACGAAGTGCTCATTTCAAGTAGCTGAAAAACTCTTCTTATTGACTTCGTTCTTGGACTTCGTAAAAGTTGGGGGAAACAGGGCTCCGTACATTAGGCCAGTTGCACTCATGCGGTCAAAACTGAATCAATGCTCGGATTTTCCGAACTGAAAACGCTATATCGCCCAAAAAGACATCGAGTGAAACCCCACTATTTTCAGAGAAATCGGCACCGTTATGATCAGCATCTTTTGGGAAACACAACTGTCTAGTTTACAACCATTTCTTGCGCGATATGGTACACTATTTGATTCCTGAATGATTTAATTCCCAACGTTTGCCCCCTGGCTATAACTATAGCTAGACTCTCTCGCTAACGAGTGTCCCCAGGTACTTTGATAGAAAGCGGAGTTCAGTCTCTGACTTTTTCAGTTTTTTAGGATGCCAGCTTATAGAACTCGACGAGTTGAGCCTAATAATATAGGTTTCTATATGGGAAAAGTTCACACGAACTGAGTTATAGACAAAAAAACGAAAAAAAAACGACAAATCAGCGTTTTTTTTTCGAACATTTAGGGTGCATGGGAATTGCATGTCCTCTCAGTCGGGTCTAAATCCACATCCTTCCACGATTTCACGACGAATGCTTTGATCATGGCAAGTTACTATTTTCCCAGACATCAACTTTACGCTCAGAAGAAGTGCTTTCTGCTAATATCCCTCTGTATAATGCCCTCAACAATTACCGTGATTGTAGTAATTAAATACAAAACAAAAGATTTACGTCAATGGAACTTATATGCTCATTTTGCAATACATCCAGCCAATGCCTGGTTGTACTGAATTTGATTTATCCCACACAAGAATTGCCCCGAGCGCCAATGCCTCACCTAACGGGATCTTCTTGATCCAGATTCCACGTCTTCCATGCGGGTCTAGACGGCGAAGGAACATTATAGATTCCAAGGTCATTGGAATCGTATGATGTCAAAGCCTGAAAATTAACGACAAGAAATCACATACCGGGAAACGATCGGTAACTTCGAAATGCGTACTCTATTAAGACGCGAAATCAATCGTCGATCAGGCTCGTTCGCCGCTTCAAGACTTCTGCCCAACTCATTCAGCAGAATAATCTCAACCTGTAAGAATTGCTTCAAACTTGTGGTCCATATCGAACAATGAAATGTCGATATTAGATTGAAAATTGAACAGCAAAAACCTTTGCGATGAACTCCTTTACAGCTAACTTCTGCTCATGAATTAGTTTGCTTCGCCGCGAACAACGACCTTCCAGAGCTTGTACGCATGTTCTAAAGATTATTTCTTCACAATTATCACAACTGGCAACTTGTGATGCAAATGTTCCACGGCACTATTCAACTATTACTACCCCTTTCCGGAAAAGGGCCGGATTTTGATCGACTTTTTTCTACGGGGGTGGATTTGGCTGAAAGTTGAGTTCTGGGGGTGATTCGAAATCCTGAACACGAGTATCACATCCGCTCCTCTTCAAACCGCCTGGCGCTCGCGCCACAGGCGCCGGCGCCAAAGTGCCCTAGATCACGAAATTCGCTGGAAACTTGTACTTAGGTCGAATTACCCCTAGAACCCAACTTTCAGCCAAATCCACCCCCGTAGAAAAAACTCGATCAAGATCCGGCCTGTTTTCGCAAAACTGGGGTAGTAATAGTTGAGTAGTGCCGTTCCAGTCCAGTGGCATTTCCACATGACAATCGAAATTTCAAGCTTCTCTCAAGTTCGCGCTACATACCTATAGACCTCCTCCGGTCGCCAAGCGTTCGATCGATGTTCCGAATGTCCCCTCATCAGATGACATGCTCTGAAACACGGTACTGAAAAAAAAATCAAAGGCATATAGTATAGTGAAGGGTATATAGTGAGTGTCTTTTAGAGACCTCTTCTTTTTGCTTCGTATACCGCAGCCAAACAAGAGAAGATTAAGCAAACTGCTCGTCGATCTGTGAATAGCCCTAGGGTGCTGAACGGCTAAGGGCCATCTCCGTGGGAACACTTAAAGCTTGCATTTCTATGCTGTTCAAAAACCCTCCCTAGTCGAATCACTCTTGGCGCTTGTAAGAAAGCTCTCCAGCATCCCACTCTCGAACGTGGAAACTTCTTTGCCTCCATGATTAGAACACATCCAAAGCTGTGCAGTCAGGTAGAAGGCGTGCCATTTTGCGCTTCCGCCCACTTCCTCTCTCTCCTCCAGTTGTCATTTCACCTCATTGCCATTTTCATCTACATGAACTCCCTTTTAAGTAGGAAATTTCTTGCATGTACATACTTCCGCCTATGTTGAATACTTGAAATCCAAAATATAAACTTCTAGATTTTCCCAGAGCGATAATTCTCATTGTACGGCGTCACTTATGCCACTTCCTTTCGTATATGGGCACATTCCACATGCATAACAGGGATCCCCTCAAGCAGGGCGTTATCTTGGCAGCTGCTTACTGCAACTTATTTGAGTTTGATCTCGTAACTGTGAACAACGCGTTAATTAGGAAGTTGTGGTGCTCTTGCTTCGAGTCGAAAATTTCAATCGGAGCGCAATTCTCCTGGAAGATGACACCTAGCCATTTATTTGGTCCAACGTGTTTTTGGTAATTGCTGTTTTGGTGCAGGGATTAAGGACCCATGGGGAGCTACCTTCCTACATTGTCGGTTAAATCACGACTTATCTATTCAGTCATATGATGCAGCATGTTGCAGACGACTTCGCCCTCGATTAGATTATGATGGAATCTCTCTGTAAAGGGCACTGCATGCAAATGATGAGAAATGAAGACTCCGAATACATTAGGAATGAAAGGACAGAGCTCCCTAAAGTTTACTCAGGACGATAGAAGAACTACGTAATTTCCACTTGGGTAAGGGGTGGGAGCCTATGTCTTGCAAAAAAAACGAGATCATCCCGAGCCAGCCTAATTATGTGCATGGCGAGCTGGTTCTCGTCACCAGTTTGTTTCGCTTATGCTACAGGTTGCATAAGGTCGCCTTCTACTCGTTTCAGTTTGGCAACTTCTGCAGTTTTTTTTTGCCCGAGTTCAATTTTAACCTTTAGGATGTAACGGAATTCGAGAGACGGCGTGCCTTGTGTTCCGTCCCCCACATCCTCAAGAGACTAATTGTAAACGCTGTCTTCTAAATCAGAACAAAGTGTGCGAGTCCTTCTGATCTTTCTTCACTGGGGACCACTCATAACTGTACCTTACTTTGAAATCTTGAATTCGTGATCACCGTTCCGAACCAGGGAAAATTTCTGAGAAGCTGAATAGATTACTAATGTCATGGGAAGTAACAGGATACTTGAAGTCCGCTACCCTCTTGGGATGTGCCACGCCTATGACTTTCATTCAGAATCGCACTGCTCTTTAAAGGACTTGGCCTATAGAAAGGCTTGCGGAAGCCGCCTGATCTAACACTTCACGAATTCACCATCTCAGTGGAATTAACGAACTGCCTGGCTGACCTCATAGGCTTCTTTGGTCCCAGAAGAATACTATCCGAAAAATTGAAGCGTTTCATAGAAAGTACACTAATGGGTATTGCTCGCTGTCAGCAGGGTTTAGCATCGTGATGTGCGAAATGGTAGTATAGGTAGACTCCCCCCTTTCCGAGAGTGGGTGTCAGTACGACCCCCCCCCACCTAAATGAGGTTCTAGGTACAATCCTTCTCCCTTCGTCCCCCCCCCCCTCTCAGCACCTACCTACGGGTATGTGACAAGAGGATCGTAATTCGCCGCGCTGCTGGGCGTCGCTGGCGACACCTTGTCTGCAAAGGACGATGGTTTCAGGTGTAGATGGCGACAACATGCAATTAAGGACCGAAAACAGTAATGACTGTCTACGATGACGGGGTCTACATGAAGTCCGGTGCTCCATTCGACAGGTTAAAACGCGTTATGCAAACGCCGCGCCCATCGCCGCGCCTGGCGGTGCGGCGAATTACGATCCTCTTTACCGTCTTCCCCTTCCTACCATCTTCCCACATTTTCCAGGTTTTCACCCGGGGGAATGAATATAGCCAATGTGAAACGGGAAAAATCACGAACAGTCAACAACCAGAAAGATTTTTTCCCAACGCCGTAAATTTGCCTTAATTTCCCTCAAAGCCGCATACACCCTCCCCCCCCCCAAGTGGGAAAGTACGACCCCTTATGTGTTTCACACTGTACCCTGCTTGCCAGTACAACACCTCGCCACACCAGCGTACCACTACAGTACATTCTTGATAGCATAGAGGCAGTGCTCACAAATGGATGTCGATTCCGGTAGTATAACACTTCCTGTAAAAAACTCTCACGTATGTGGACCAGTTGCTAGGTAGCTGCGAGAATTTTCACGCAAACACACGAAGTGTGATTTCTTTGCCGCTGTGAAGTCAGGGAAACTGTGAGATACCGTGAGATAATGAGGGGAAAACCACGAAAAAGCGCCGAACTCTTTCTCGAAAAAGGTTTCCTTCCCATAACTCGCTGAGTTACCTTACACATTTACTCCTACGATAATACTATGGAATAGCACTAGAAAACGGCTGACTGTTCCAGTGATACTTCTAAAGAAGGTTCTATCTCATTGTCAGCAGTAGTTGAGAGGAGCGCGCGTTTCGTCACGGCTCCGAATGCTCCGCCTCACCAGCTTTTCTAGCAACATTCTTTTTTGCAGTTGTGAGTTCATTACTCATGCCATTCTCAAATTGAAAGTGGAGAGGAGGCAAGGGTGGGCATCAGTCGTTGTAGGTCCAAAAAAGAGGATCAAAATCACTAGCGTTCGTTTCCCCCTCCGGGGAGCGGCCAGCCTCTTGATGTAAGCACTCATGGAACTTGATTAAAAGTTGGAACTCATTGAAAAGAAGAACTTATAAGAACCTGTCAATCGAAATAAACAGTGGTGGTGCTAAACAATAGAAGCACAGGCGACGAATGCATAACTTCAACCTTAGTCACCTAGTTTCCCCTCGAACCTTGATCAGGAGCTATCAATCGTGGGGTGAAGAAACGTCATTGGAAATCAGTTACCATCAAAAAATGAATAGCAGTCATAGGTGAAAAAACACCACCCCTAAACCATTTGCCGGAGCAACGTGACTGCCCCCTTATCTGAAGGGCTAAATCATTCCCTATCGCTCTAGCAGTTTCATAGAGAAGTCCTTGCTATATAGGAGAGCGTCCTTGGTTTTTTTTTCCTTAGATTGAACTTCATTAGTTAAGGGGTCAAAGCGGGGTGTCAAGTCGACAAAATTGAGCATTTTCAGCCAAACTCCATTTGTTAGTGTGACGAATGTGTGACTGCAACCCACCTCCGAAGCTTGCCAGATGGGAGTTGAATGGATCCGCAGCTGCACTAGCGTCTCGGGCGTCTCCATCTTCTCTGCCCAAAAGTACACGAGAATGGGGCACGAGGGCAGTGATACCTAGGCGCCATCCCTCCCACCCCCTACCCTCAGGATGAATCACTTGCCGGTAGCAAAACTCCGCAGCAAATACGTCAAAGGTAGAGAACAAGCACAAGTGAGAGAGCACAGACAAGCTTCTACGCTTAGCAGTGTGCCGGGCCGTGCGACAGCGGGCCGCATCTATTTCTCGACCCGTTCGCGCGGCGCATGTCGCGCGCGGTCCCTTTGACACGTTGCCAGTTCCACTAATGGTGGGCGTTATTGTGACGCAATCTCTCTGACGCGGAGTGTAGCTGCAGTTAAGGTAGTCTCTGGAGCCTAACACATCCTACAAGTGCAAATTTAGCGATAAAGATCAAACTGAAGAGCAGCTGCTCTCTTTCTGTAATACATTCCTGGAGATCCCCAACATAGATAAAATAATCAACTTTTATTCGAAAAGGTTCGAGTGATGTTTGACAGATGTTCTCGATGACTGGATTTAAACTGTGGGCACCACAGTCTTCATGAGGAGCCTACAGCAGTGGTTGGTACGAGCTTCCAGTACTGACTCCGTGATCACCTCATGCAAGAGTTATCAGAATAATATATCTCGATTGGTGATGGAAAGCAAATGGCTGTCCGAATCGTAAATGGTGCAGTCCTCATCATTGCGGACCGGTGGGGCGTGTCAGCCAGAAGGAGTGCACACACTGTTGAAGCCGTTCTCACCCTTTTTGTTGGAATGCGTATGTAACAAAAAGTGGTAGAAAACGAGTAATACGGAGGATACAATACAGTAATGCTTTTGCCCGCTTCAAAAACTGATGCGGAATGACTCTGCCAAACCGCACCAAACGCAGCCGCACTGCCACGCCCACCGGTCCGCATTGAAGAGGACTGTATGCAGAACGGACCAGTCGTCGTCTTTATCAAAGAGTTCCTGTTCAGATTGGACACCAGTTGCTGCCAAGGATAGCCGAAACCCTTAGGGCAGCGTTCAGAATTCGCGATCAGCCGCTAGTGGTAATGGCCGGTTGTGTAGCGCGACTGATTCGATCGCGCTCCAGTGCAAAAACCAATTGGACGGATGCTAATTTACAGCCATTTTCGGTTACTTTTTGCTTCTTCTCCCGTTTGCTTCTCGATTGTTCCTTCCTGTTCCTGGCACTATTATTTCTAATCGTTTCTATTGTTTGTCAGGTATTATGCCTTTTACCGTTGACATAGTGAAATTTTTCACAGATGCATTGAAATTTTTTGGGTAGACGGCCGTTCTGCGAGCAACTTTTTTGTTTTCGAGGTGGGTTTTTCAAGTTCTCTGCAGTTTTGGCTATCTTTTTGATTCTCATCAATCATATTGTGTTTAGCTTGGTCAGTAGTTCAGCAGTTCAGTAGTAACCTTCACATGTACGGTAAGTAGTTTCTCTTTGCACCAATTTTCCAATTGTGTTGTGTCTTGGTTATGATTAAGTCTACTATGTTCTCTTTAACATGCTCAAGGTGCTAAGAGAAACTAAACTACCTACAGGTGAAGGTTTCTTCTGAACTGCTGAACTACCGACCAAGCTAAACACAATGTGATTGATAAGAATCGAAAAGAGAACCAAAACTGCAGGGAACCTGAAAAACCCACCTCGAAAACAAAAAAGTTGCGCGCAGAACGGCCGTCTATCCAAAAAAATCCAATGCATCTGGAAAATTTCACTATGTTAAAGGTTAAAAGCATAATAACTGACAAATAAGAGAA